TAAACAGTAAGTGTCACCCACCGGATTAGCTCCATCATTTCAACAACCGCCGTCCAAAAGAAAGAGGATCCGAGGGATTTCACCATTCCATGCACTATTGGATTGCATAACTTTGCACGAGCTCTTTGTGATAATAGGGCTAGCATCAACTTAATGCCTCTTGCAAACTACAAGCAAGCAGGATTGGGAATGTTTAGGCCTACGAGTATGAGGTTGCAAATGGCCGACCGTTCGGTGAAGCGACCGGTGGGGATAGTGGATGATGTGCTTGTGAAGGTGGGGAAGTTCCTCCTCCCTGCCGACTTCGTTGTTCTTGATTGTGCAGTTAATAAAGAGATCCCTGTCATCTTAGGGAGACCATTCCTTGCAACCGGAAGAGCACTCATGGGCATGGAAACAAATGAAATTAAATTTTGGGTTAATGACGAAGAAGTTACCTTTCAAGCAAGTACGGGCATGAAATTGCCAAATGCATACGAGAGTATCTCGGTACTTGATGTCATTGATGTGGTAGAAGATGTTGTTGAGGTAAAAGATGGAAGAGGAACGCCTTGGTGAGGCATTGGCGGCGATCTTGACAAATTTTGATGGTGAGGACATAGAAGGATACATGGAGACGGTGAACGCATTGGAAGACCGAAGAAGCTTTCTTTTGACTTGGAGAATAGAGTCACTCCTCCCGCCAAGCCTTCAATCGTTGAGCCGCCACAACTTAAACTCAAGCCACTACCACCACAGCTAAGGTATATCCGAGGGATTCCCGGATATACCTTCTATGTCCTCAGTAGGAATCCCTCGGATATACCTTAGGTGTGGCGGTAGTGGTTTGAGTTCAAATTGTGGCGGCTCAACGACTGCAGGTTGACGGGAGGATTGGCTCTAGTCTCCAAGTCAAAAGAAAGCTTCTTCGGTGCATAAGTGTATGAACCAAGCCCTTCCCATGCGTTCACCGTCTCCACGTATCCTTCTATGTTCTCACCATCAAAATTTGTCAAGATCTCCGCCAATGCCTCACCAAGGCATTCCTCTTCCATCTTTATCTCAACAACATCTTCTACCACATAAAGTACCGAGATACTCTCGTATGCATTTGGCAATTTCATGCCCTTACTTCCTTGAAAAGTAACTTCTTCGTCATTAACTTGGAATTTAATCTCATTTCTTTCCGAGTCCATGAGTGCTCTCCCAGTTGCAAGGAATGGTCTCCCTAAGATGATGGATCTCTTTATCAACTACACAATCAAGAATAACGAAGTCGGCGGGGAGGAGGAACTTCCCCACCTTCACAAGCACATCATCCACTATCCCCACCGGTTGCTTCACCGAACAGTAGGCCATTTGCAACCTCATACTCGTACGCCAAGGCATTCCCAATCCCACTTGCTTGTAGATAGCAAGAGGCATTAAGTTGACGCTAGCCCCATTATCACAAAGAGCTCGTGCAACGTCACGCAATCCAATAGTGCATGGAATGGTGAAAGCCCCCAGATCCTCTTTCTTTTGGATGTCGGTTGTTGAAATGATGGAGCTAATCTAGTGGGTGACACTCACCATTTCATTCTTGATGGTCTTTTTTTTTGTGATCAAATCCTTCCAAGTATTTAGCAAAACCAAGTATCTCTTGAAACGCTTCCACAAACGGAATGTTCACCGATATTTGCTTTAAGATGTCATAGAACTTCTCGAAATTGCTATCATCATCTCTTTTGGCTAGTCTTTGAGGAAATGGAGGGGAAGATCTAGGAGTTGGTGCTAGAGGTTTTGGCGCTCCTATTACTTTGTCCTCAACCTTTTCATGGCTCACATCCTGAGCTTTCACCTTCTTCGGAATTCTCTCAACTTCAACAACATTAGGCACCTCATCTTCTTGTTCAACATCTTCCACTTCGACCACTTGTTCACTCTCACTTTGAAGTAGTTTCCCACTTCGAATTGTAATGGCCATACAATGAGCGGTTGGGCCACCCCCACTACCCTTTGGGTTTGCAATTGTATAACTTGGGAGTGTGCCTTTTTTTGTGGGGTTTGTTCTTTTGAGAGATCCTTCATTTGCATTTCCAACTTTTGAATAGATGTGGTGTGAGAACCCACAAGCTCGGTCATGTTTGTAATTAAAAAGTTGGACCTCTCTTGGTTTTGCAACACTCTGTCAAGCATGTTCTCCAATTTGGAATCGCTTGAAGAACTCTCCCTTCAATGTTGAAAGTTAGAGTATTGCCTCTTTGATGGAACATAGGGATTTGAACTCCGATTTGCAAAATTGTTGTTGTTGGTGTTCCAATTTCCTTGATTAGAACTACCTTGGTCATTTCGCCATTGTTGGTTACCTTGCCCCTGCGGGTTAGGTCTCCATTGGTGTTGTTGTCTCGAGGCTTGGTAGTTTTGTCTTTGATATCCTCCTTGTGAATTGTTAACATAGTTTGCTTCTTCGTATTGCATTGGAGGATAGTCTTGTTGTTTGCTTTTTTGATGTTGATAGTTAGCATTTGACATTGTTCTTCCATAATATTCAGTTTCTTTGCGTGGCTTTCCGTGAATATTTTTCTCAACACATTGACATTGGTAGCAAGCCTGACAATCAATTGATCTCTTTCTTGATTTTCCTTGACCATGTTGGTCAAAGAAGGGCTACTCCACATACGGTGTTGCCCTAATGCCAAGCTTGATTGTGTTCGGCCACCTTGTCGAGGATTTGAGTGACTCTTGCAAATGTTTTGTCCATAAACGATCTATTAGCCGCATTGTTGGCTACTGATTGATCCGTAGAATCTAAACCCGTGTAAAACTTCTCCAACAAAATATTTTTCGGAAACTCATGATTTGGTGATCTCACCAAATACTGCTTGAATCTACCCCATGCTTCATGTAGTTGTTCCCCCGGTAATTGCTTGAAGAAGAAAATTTTGTCTCTAAGTTCGGATTTCTTGCTTTGTGGGAACCATTTTGCTAGGAAAACATGCACAAGTTCGGCCCAAATGTAGATGGAGTTAGGAGGTAGATTGTGAATCCATTACCTTGCCTCTCCGGCTAAAGAGTATTTGAATACCCTCAAACTTAGGGCATCATCCGAAACATGATTCTGCTTATGCATTACACACAAACCCAAAAAAAATTTGAGGTCTTGTGTTGGATCATCGTTGGTGGAATTTCGGAAGAATCCTTCAGCATTAGGATTAGGCTATGTTCCACTTTGTAGGCAACCGCATCCACTCTAGGAAGGACAATGGCGTTTGTATCATCAACATACTCATCCATAAACGCAAACACATTCTCCGGCTCGCCCATGCTTGCCTAGTGACACCAAACAAAACAAGCAAAGTGTGATAGAATAGAAAGAGACGTAAAGTAAAGCGCACAATAGTTAGTAATTTCTAAATCGTACTCCCCGGCAACAGCGCCAAAATTTGATACGCTCAAATTACACCTATATAAATGGTGTAAAGAGGTCGATGTCAAATATAATAATCCAACTAGGTTGGGGTCGAATTCTACAAGGAATAGGTGTGAAAAGATTACTTGAATAGTGTGTCACTTGACTAAAGTCGTAATTCGACTCCGGTAATTGTGAATTGTTAAGAGAATTGATTAAGAAACCAAGGTTGTGTCCCCTTCCATGTAATGCTATCGGGGTTAATATGATATATTTCTAATGGGAGGTCTTTTGATATGCAAATGTTTCCTAAATGACTACCCAATATTTCCATGTAATGCTATCGGGGTTAATATGATATATTTCTAATGGGAGGTCTTTTGATATGCAAATGTTTCCTAAATGACTACCCAATATTTCCCAATAGTTAGGTAGTATTTCCTCTTTATGATTTTCCCAAATATAAAAGAGTTACAATTAAGAGCAACCAATTTATGTCAAATAGAACACACTTATTCCTAAGCAATTCTATTAAACAAGGTTTAAAGCCTTGAGTTCTTGCTATTCAATTCTGCCAAACCTTAACCCACTTTTCCTAGTGAAAGATTAAGTAAATTGGCACTAGTTAATGTTTGCAACCATCAACCGTAAATGAAACATAAGAAATGAATAGAAATCAACCATTCATTATATATATATATATATTCAATGGTAAACATGCATTAACATTATACCTACTTAGGGTCCACAACCTTAGTATTTAAAGCTAGTTACTTATACTAAAATACAAGAACAAAGCATTAAAGAAAGTCATAAAAGCTTACAAAGTCTTGGAATCTATCCAAAACAAGTGGTGTATTCAATGTAGGACCTTTTTTCAGACAAGATGTCCCACAAAAACCCTAATTATTCTATTTATGATGGCCCAAAAGTCGCGGTCAAAATGTGAACAAAATAGCCCTTCAGGTTAGTATGCGATCGCAAAATGGACCGCGGAAGTGATCCGCAGTCCACAAAATTGTTGCAACGCCGCAGATATGATCTTCAGCACTTCCAGATTTCCATCGCATATCAGTTATGATGTCTGCAAATTGATTCTGCGGTCCGCATAATCGTCACATTTCTCTTGCGTGTGGCAATTCTGCGGTCCGCATAACGGTTATGCGACCGCATATTTGACTTTTAAAACTGGGCCGGTCTGGTTGCTTCTGCGATAGAAATGCGGCTCGTACATCACTTCTGCGATCGCAAATCTGCTTTCTTCATGGTTTTTGACATCTTTTTCATGTTATTGGTTCTTCAAGTCCGCTTTCCTGCAAAACAACAAAATTACATAAGAAATGACTCAAAATGCTTCAAAAGGTTAGCTAAAGTCTATGAAATTAATATCGAAAGTGCCATATTTCTACGGCACATCAATAAGGAGGGATACGTATACTACAAAATTCCAACCTATCAGTTAAGACAAAAAGAAGCTCCATGTCTAGTGGGGAAAAGTAAACAAGGATAGGCTGATTATTGAAAAAGATGCATCATTTATCAGTATATTCTGATCATGTTGTTTACATTAGATTATCACGACTGAATACCATGATCTAGTGTGGTATAAGGATCTGACTGACTTTTTCAGGTTCCATAATTCAGTGATTTAGTCCAATGATGTTTGATCGGCTGGAGTTGATGTTATTGCTGCAATCCTTCGAGTTAAATTATGCGGAAGGAGCAGCAGAAACTCTCTCCTGGAAGGTTGCTCCAGGCTTGAAATGAAGAACATGATAATCTGAATGACGCGCATTTCCATTTCTACAGATTGGACGAGAAGCTCATAGCTACTATAACCAATACTTAGAAATCTCTTTCACCTCTAGGCTGATTTGTTCCTTTTCTAGGTGTGTCAAGCATGTTTGTGCCAGGTGCAGCGTTCTGAGCTTCACATAGTTAACAACTACGCCTCAGTCCCTAACAAATTGGTGTCTGCTATATGAATCCTCACTGAGTTTCACAATGTTGCTGACGTAAAATGGTCCAGCTTTTAATGGGATCCATCAGTGCAACTTTCATCAGATTTTTATTCTGGGAAATCTCACTGGATATCGCCTGGAATTTTGATGGTGGTTTCGGTAACAGGTAAATGCAGTTGGCATTCCGGAATATATTCTGTTAACAATTTCTTACAGTTGGCATACTCTATGACTGGGCATGAACAATGACTGCTGGAACTCTATGCAAGGATGAACTGACATTGGCCGGGAATGGTGAGAAGTAACGTGGTACATTTTTTTTTTTTGAAGTGGTGCTATTTTAATGCATATTGGTATTTGGTGCTTTCTCTGCAGCAGAGTTCTCATAGTAATTTGATTTTTGTGATATGCGACAACTGTGGTTCGGATCCTTATGCTCACATTGTTGAAATTTGTTACAACGTGAGCTTCTGAGTTTATATTTAACTATGTATCTTCTATAGCACTGTGCATTGTCTTGTCTAGGTGCAGTATTACTGCTTGAAAAATGATAACTATACCCGAGCTGGCTACCCAAGCCTCTGTCCCTAGCCGTCGAGAAATTTAGGATGGGCTACTCTCTTCGGTAAAAGGCCATAGAAAAATGGGGCGGCATTTGCATCTATACCCGCTTTTTGTGTCACATTTTAACTTGTGCCCGCTTTGCAAAAAAAATTGCAAGCGTACCCGCTTTTTCGCATAACTTCAGCATACAGGGCTGAAGTAGCAAAGACAATCACGCAAAACTTCAGCATTCTAGTAGCGGGGCCTGAAGTTCAGCTCTAGAGCTGAAGTTTTTTTACCACCTATTAATATTACATACTGAGCTAAAGTTTTTTGTGTTGTAACTGGGAAACTTCAGCTCTAGAGCTGAAGTTTTTTTACCACCTATTATATTACATACTAGAGCTGAAGTTTTCGTGTAATAACTGGGAAACTTCAGCTCTAGAGTTAGAAGTTTTCGTGTTGTAACGACAACCCGCCCATACAGCCAGCGGGGAGGATGGCACTACTGGCAAAGACCGTCTGGCGAAAACGCTGCAGGCGCGAAGCGTGGTAGGCCTGCGCCGGGGGAGCATACCATAGGGAGGAAAGGGAGCCTGGACGGTGGAATTGGCAAAGATTAAAGAACAAAAAGATCTCTTGGCCGAACAGATTAGCCCCCTGATTGAATCAGATAAGGCACGCCTTGTTTGAAGGAAGTGGCACCGCAACTTGGATGAACTTCCATCACCAAGTGAAATGGTGGAAATCATTATTGACCGCTTCGGCTTTCGTGTAGTAACTGGGAAACTTCAGCTCTGGAGCTGAAGTTTTCGTGTTGTAACCGGGAAACTTCAGCTCTAGAGCTGAAGTTTTAGAAATTCATAATCTAATGTTGACAATGCTTTTGCCATTGTTGCATATGAGGCTAAGACTAGGCTGAAGAGATCAAATAGTACATCTGATTTAGTTATCCAATCAAATACTGAAGATTTGCTTATGAGCAAAGGTGGTGGATCCATTATATCAGAATTCTATAGTGCAGAATATAGGAGAAACAATGCAGCACCCAGCACTATGAGTGCTTCAGACATGGTGATTCCTATCACTTGCATGGAGCATAGCACAATTAGGATGGATAGCAGGTCCTTTGGCTATTCTCTTCTGTGCAGCAGTTACTCTTTTTGCAATATCCATACTTTGTGATTGCTATAAATCTCCAGATTTTGCAACACAGATTTATAGGAAGACACAGATTTATAGGAAGACAGGTCTTTTGTTTGCATATTTCAGCTATTTATTTCAGAAGAAGAAGGAGGAGAAAGAGGGCTGAAGTTATTTAAGAAGTGGGTATAAGTTAAAAGTTTTTAAAAAAATGGGTATAGGTTAAATGGGTACAATCTTTTGTAGAAAAATGAATAAGAAGAGTGTTTGATTGGATGAAGCAATTTATGTTGACGAATTTCCTCTTTTTTGTATAAAATCCACGAAGACAGACGTACTAAACTTCAAGATTTGTTAATCCACGAAGACAGACGTACTAAACTTCAAGATTTGTTTTAACCAAGGCTATAATAGCTATTTGGTCGTGTTCTTTTTTGGCCCAAAGTATTTTTTATTTTTTTTTCTTTTTCTTTTGTGGCCAAAAAGTGTTTGTTTTTCCAAAATTGTGGTGTTTGGCCAAGCTTTTAGAAGGAAAAAAAGTGTTTTTGAATAGAAGCAGAAGTAAATTTTGAGAAGCTGAAAAAATTAGCTTATTCCTAAAGACACTTTTTTTGAAAAATACTTTTGAAAAAAATATATTTAGAAGTATTTTTTTTCTTGTATCGGGGATCAATTGGAAACGGTCTTTCTACATTCAAAATAGGGATAAAGTGTGTATTTACTATCCTCCTTAGATTCCACTTGTGGAATTATACTAAGCTTCTTTTTTATTGTTGTTGTTCAAACACTAACTGCAACGCAAATTGTTTATCATTAAAAAATAAAAATATGACACTTTTGAGAAAAACACTTCCAAACAGGCCGTCTCCAAGTGAGTCCGAGGAACACTCTTCAGAATAGTGTTGGAAATTGGCTTTTTCTTAAATTTAAGCCCACGGTCTGATAAGGCATACAGAAATTACTTCTTTCAAAATATCTAGATGCAGAAATGTCTGTAGAAGTTCGTATAGCACTACTTTACTTTGGTAGGTAAGGAGGAAGTTCCTTAATAATAAAGGATGAAACAAAGAACAACAATAATTATTACACCTTAACCTACAAATTATTATTATTATGCACATTTTATAAATAAGTATCGGTCAAAGGAGCATGGAAATTAAAAAGAAAAAAATTATATATATCAGTCACGTAGCTTGTATCAGAAAATAAGGGAAACTGCAAATTAAAAGGAGGATCTTGTTACTATAAATCCTAACTAGTAATAAACTATGTACAAACAAATGTTCTAATGCTTGAACACAACTGTTGATCAAGCATGTTGTTTGACCAAAAGATGTCAAAACTTTTATGATTGAAACAAATAAAGATAAAGATGAGGTCAATCTTAATTAAACATAATAAAACTCAGATCTAAAAACGAATTCGGAAATTGATGAATAGAGCAAAATAAGAGCAAACGATCTTCATTCATCCTTTCCTTTCATCCTTTATCAAATTTAGGAGCGGTCAATTGTACATTTTGGAGGAAAATAGAAGGAGAGAATAGAGAGAAAAACGAAACCCCCTCCCCCCCTTTTGGAATTCATCCCCTATATATATAGTCCTGGGACCATGGCTACCCTCTCCGGTCGACGTGCCCTAGGGCCGCGGCTTTTCGGTCGTTACCTGAATGTTGTCTTTGACTTACTAGACACTGTAGATACTTGGATCAAAGTAGGTCGTGGTGGTCCTCGCTACCCCACCCCTTAGGCGGGGTTCCAGATGGGTCGGCTATTGTGGTTAGATTTTGACTTATATAGTTAGTCCTTCCGTCCGTTGGGGTCGTCTATGGGCGGACCCGACAAACGGATTGTGATTTTGAACACTTAGGAAAAATGTGACTGTTTGTGCCTTGACCGTAGTTTTTTTTCTTTAAAACCAAGGCAATAGCGCGACACTATAACAGTGCCTTTGGACCGTCGCGGCCGTTCGGAACCGAAGCGTTTGTTTGATTTGAAACGTCGTTCGTGGCTGCTGTCATTATGACACGCATTTCCTGGGGATTGAACCGTTTCGTGCCCTTATCAGTTTCAATTGGTGACTCTTGGGTTTCCCGCTCGGGGAATTTATGTCCCTATAAATAGAGAAAAGATATCATTCGTTTGGCACACTTTCTTGCCTTTGTTGAGAACACACTGTAGATCTTCCTCTTTTCAGATACTTTTAGATTTCCGATCCTCTTCGGTTAGCCGGAATTTTCCATCCCCATCTCTTCTTCTTCTTAAGCCTTTTGTTCTATTCAATCGATACCAATGGCTGGTGGTTCTTCCCGCGCTGATAATCCTACCGCAATTTCGGCGTCAGAAAGTGATGTTCCTGCTCCCGGAGTAAAAGCGATAGAAGATGAAGGGATTTCGATGGCGGCCGAGATATTGCCTCGCCTTGGAAGGTCGTGGAACGATTTCCACAGCCCCGCCGGAGAAGAAACGGAACCTTCCCCCTCTGTTATGACTGAGACGGGGATTGCGGAGCTGAGGGCAAAATGTGGGATCCCTCATCATGTTGAAATGTTGTCGGCGGTGGGAGATGATATCATACATTTCGATCGCCCAGGATATTGTGTGTTCTACGCCTATCCCTTCATCTTCGGGTATACGCTTCCTCTTCCCCTCTTGGTAGTAGATTTTTGCCATTTTTATGAGGTATGTCCGGCTCAACTTTCACCGTACTTGTATAAATTGTTCCTCATGTTACTCAAATTTGTGGAGCTTGCTGGTCGGGAGGTTACGTTGAGGCACATACTCAATATCTTTTCTCCTCAACTCATCCGAGGCACGATGATCCACATGCGCTATCGAGGGACGAAGAGTCTGGTGGTGAGGATGGACGGCAGGGCCAACTGTCGCTTTTATGAAAACTATTTTTATGTGCGTACAGAGCACCTTGTGGCGGACCCAACAAGATTCCCTGAGAGATGGAACTTCGCACGTAAGTCTTTGTACTTTTAGTTGGAATGATAGTCGACCACTTTCGTTTGGGCGGTGTTTGAACTGCTTTTTGCTTTTGCAGCCGCAAGATTACCTCCTGCGCATGTTGATGATATCCGCGAATGGGTGAATGTCATTCTTTCTCATACAGCGGGAATTCGCGAATGGTCGTCTTTCTACGAGAGATACGGGTGTAAGCCCCTTACTGGTAACTCTGCCGCAGTCTCTGTTTTTCATTTTGCAATTTTGGCTTTGTTGCTTATACGACATTTATCATTGGCAGGAAGAGTGCGAAGGACGAGGGCTCCTCCACTTGCATTTCATCAGCCGACGTCCTCCGCTCGGCCCGTGTCGAGGCATGCTGCCCGTCCTTTGGCAAGGGCTGCTCAAGTTAAGTCTGCGGCCGTAGCCGTATGCGCGGAAGTCGTTCCTCAACTCGGGGCTCCGACTTTTGTTATCCGCCCAACGAGGGAATCTTCCAGTACTGAGGATGGCGAGGGACCGTCAAAGAGAAGACGGGTGGAGTCTGAAGTGGCTCTGTCGACCGTGATATATTTAGAGGTTGACGTCCCCATGATAGAGTCAGAGATGGGGAACATTGCTAACCTGTCTGCAGAGGTGGAACCGATCGCCATGATCAAACTATCGACAGAGATTCCAACTGTCATAGATGACCAACAGACTACTGTGATGGGTAATCGAAGTCTCGAGGCCGCTGTTGTTAGCCGCAGATAGGGGAAAAGGCGTCGTGGTCGATGACTACGAATCTGAGTCTAATCTTGATCCTGACGACGCTAGGATGTTTGAAGAGGGACTTACTCGTTTGGTGGTACATGCGGGAGGCCATCCCGTA